ATGGAACAATAAACCCCCATGAATAGCTAATGCAATCCTTGGGAAAAAGAAGATGGGTGGCATCTCCTTCCCCAACTTCAAGCTATACTACAAAGCAGTAGTAATTAAGACAGCATGGTACTGGGCTAGAAACAGACCTGCAGGCCAATGGAACAGAGTTGAATATTCTGACACAGACTCCAAAATACATGACCACTTAATCTTTAACAAAGGCGCAAGAAATGTGAAGTGGAACAAGGAAAGCCTCTTCAACAAAGGGAGCTGGGAAAACTGGATAGCTACCTGCAAAAAAATGAATGCTAACCTCTGTCTAATGCCAGGCACAAAAGTCAGATCAAAGTGGGTTAAAGACTTCGATATCAGGCACGAATCCATAAGATACATAGAGGAAAATGTAGACAGAATTCTCCACGACATTGAAGCTAAAAGTATTTGTAAGGATGAAACAGCACTGACCATGCAAGTAGAAGCAAACATAAGCAAATGGGACTACACCAAACTAAGATGCTTCTGCACTTCAAAAGAAACAGACACCAAAATACAGAAAGAGCCCACAGAATGGGAAAGAATATTTACCCAATACCCATCTGATAAGGGATTAATATCCAGGATATACAAGACACTAGTAAATTGTACATAAAACACCTCCGACCTCATTAAAAATGGGGACAAGAAATGAACAGAAGTTTCCTCATAAAAGAAATACAAATGGCAAAAGGCACATGAAAAAATGCTCCACATTGCTAGCCATCAGGGAGATACAAATCAAAACAACAATGAGATATCATCTCACACCACAGAGACTGGCACACATTCAAAAGGTCTAAAGCAACCAGTGCTGGCGTGGATGTGGGGAAAAAGTGACACTCTATCACTGTTGGTGGGAATGCCCACTAGTCCAGCCTTTCTGGAAAACAATATGGACAGTCCTTCAAAAACTAGAAATTGAGCTTTCATATGACTCCGCAATACCACTTCTGGGGATCTATCCTGAGGATACAAAAAAAGCACAGTAGAAATGACATCTGTACCTATATGTTCATCGCAGCACTGTTCACAATAGTCGAAATCTGGAAACACCCTAAGTGCCCTAGAACAGATGACTGGTTCAAGAAACTTTTGTACATCTACACAATGGAATAGTATGCAGATGTCAGGAGAGAAGAAGTCATGAACTTTGCTTATTAATAGATAGACATGGAGAGTATTATGCTAAGTAAAATGAGTCAGTAAGAGAGGGGCAGACATGTAAGAACTGCACTCATTTGTGGAGTATAAAACAACATAACATGAGGCTGACTCCAAAGACAGCAGATACACGGGACAGATAGATCGCTCTATAGCTGGAAGCTTGCCTTATGAGCAAAGCGGGTAAGGGAGCTGGAATAGAGAAGGGATCACTAAGAAAATGATGGCTGGAGAAACTGGTTGGGATGGGTGATGTGTGCTGAAAGCAGATAAAGAAGCAAGCATGATAACCTCTCAGTACCTGCATTGCAAACCATAATGCCCCAAAGTAGAGGGAGAGTATGTGGAATATTCTCTGCCATGCAAACAGGGGGAGGATGGGAAAGTGGGGATATACCGGGGATATTGGTGGTGGGGAAGGTGCACTGGTGGAGGAATGGGTGTTTGATCATTGTGTGATTGTAACCCAAACATGAAAGCTTGTGACTGTCTCACGGTGATTCAATAAAATTAAAGTCTGTGTGCTATTCCTAGATGTCAAGAAATATAAACAACCACTAATTCATTGACAATGCAGTTTTTTAAGTTCAAAAGCACTCTAACTCTAAGGGCCAAGAATATATATCATGTTATATCTATGATTATAACAGATTATGCCTTTTTACACTATTATTTAAAAGTTGATTTTTCTTATAAATCCACGCCACGTGTAAGCCCTCCCCACCCTAAGAGACCCAGTCCCTGCAGCCAAACTCCACTACCCAACTACCACCATGCTCCAGGCCGCTTTCCGGACACATTATAAGACACTTTTTACCCATTTTTGACTATTACGACACTGTGTCTGATGGGGTTCAGACAGTAGGCAACAAATCATCGAGAAAAATATATAACTATATGCCTCTCAGAGAGCCTGGCAAGCTATCGAGAGTATCCTGCTCTCACGGGCAGAGCCTGGCAAGCTCCACATGGCATATTTGATATGCCAAATACAGTAACGACAACAGGTCTCAGTCCCCTGACCCTGAAAGTGTCTCCAATCTTTGGGAAAAGAAGAGGCTGCTAACATCTCAGGGCTGAGAAGTATAGAGACGTTGCTGGCTCCCGCTTGAGTAATTAGACGATCAACAAGATGACAGTGATAGAGTGATACAGTGATTTTTCTTATAATCGTATCCAAGACTCTATTTTAAAATCTGTAAACACTCAAGAAAGAAAAATATTTTCAATATGACATATAATATGTATAACTCACATAATGAAACATGTTGTAACTAAAACTGGGAAAGAAATTAAAGACTACTGTCTTGGAATATCTGGGTATTTGTCCAGATAGGAAGAAAAAATCATGACAAAAGACAAATAATGTACATACTGGTCTGAACTTCATGTATAAATTATTTTAGTTTAACTTTTGTGGTTCAATACTGGGTGAAGTAGGGAATTAAAAAATTTTATTGAGTCACTGTGAGATAAATACAAGCTTTCATGTTTGGGTTAGAATAACACTGTGATCAAACACCCATCCCTCCACAAGTGTACATTCTCCACCACCAGTATCCCTGGTATACCTCCCATTCTCACCCTTCCCTGCCTCCATGGCAGACCATATTCCCCAATCTCTCTACTTTTGGGCATTATGGTTTGCAATACAGACACTGAGAGGTTATCATGTTTGGTCCTTTATCTACTTTCTGCACACATCTCCCATCCCGATCAGTTTCTCAAGCCATCATTTTCTTAGTGATCTTTTTTCTATTCTCACTGACTTCTCCCCTTTTGCCCATGAGGCAGGCTTCCAGCTATGGAGCAATGTTCCTGTCCTGTGTGTTTACTATCCTTAGGTGTCAATCTCATGTTATGTTGTTTTATACTCCACAAATGAGTTCAGTCCTTCTATGTCTATCCCTCTCTTTCTGATTCATTTCACTTATCATACTCTCCATGTAATAGGGACGTTTTTGCTTTGAAAAAATGACAGTATCATTAGGCTTTTACCTTGCATGTGGCCTACCTGGGTTCGATTCCTCTGTCCCTCTCAGAGAGGCTGGCAAGCTACTGAGAGTATCCTGCCCTCACGGCAGAGCCTGGCAAACTCCCCGTGGCATATTCGATATGCCAAAAAAAAAAGACAACAAGTCTCAAAATGGAGACGTTACTGGTTCCCACTCGAGCAAATCAATGAACAATGCGAGGACAGTGCTACAGTGCTATCATTAGGTGCTAAGAATACTATTGTACCTTTTGTATCCGGAATAGACCACATATGTGTCATTTTATCTAGATATAAGGAATACATTTTTGTGCTCTTGAGGCCTATTGCTGAATAACAATGTCTTTGACGTCTTCCTAATTAATATTTACCTGTATGGCAAGTATGAATTGATTTTCATACTGAATTTTATATCTCAATGAATTATAAGGATGTATCTAAGAGACAAATTTGATACCATTTAGATTTGAATAAGACACTTAATCGGTCAGGGTCCTCCCATTGTTCATCGATTTGCTTGAGCGGGCCCAGTAACATCTCCATCGTGAGACTTGTTGTTACTGTGTTTGGCATATCGAATAAATCACAGGTAGCTTGCCAGGCTCTGCCGTGCGGGCGAGATACTCTCAGTAGCTTGCCGGGCTCTCTGAGAGGGGCGGAGGAATCGAACTCAGGTCAGCCATGTTGGCTGCTTGTAAGGCAAATGCCCTACTGCTCTGCTATCATTCCAGCCCAAGATACTTAATATAATTCTAAAATTCCACTTGACAGACTTAAAATTATCACACAAATTTTACATTAAAACAGAAAACTGAAAATGTTATTTAGCAATAAATTGTAATAAAATCCACAATGACAAACAATGACAAGAGATATTATGTTACCTCTTTGGTGTACAACGAACATACATTTGTTATACTGGTAAATAGAAATGATGCACTGTAATCACAAAAAGTTTAACAAATGTGTTTGATATTTTGATAGTATTGAATAGCAACATATTATGAAAAAAGGTAGCTAAATATATGTGAACTCTAATGGGGGCTGGAAGGTAACTATTTTAGAAAAGGGGTAAATATCTTACCCCTTGCATTCACAAAAAGCCCCCCTTACAATGTGTACTTTTCCAGTTCTCACATTTAGAGCTCTTTATATAAAGCTGGTTCACATATTTTTCCTTACTTGAACTTTTCTTTTTTATTGAACTTTAAAAGATCCATTTTATTTAAATATTATAACTTACTACAATATTAATGTTATTGCACCTATTTCCAGTAATTTGCTTTTCTTTTGCTTAAAGCTTTAGTTGTACACTACTAAATTTTGTTTGTTTGTTTATGGGCCATACCTACTAGTATTCAGAGATTACTCCTGGCTCTTGGTGGGCTCAGGGGATCATGTGGGATGCTGGGGATTCAACACGGGTTGGCTACAAGTAAGGCAAGTGCCCTACCTTCTGTACTATTGCTCCAGCCCTGCATTCCTAATTTTATATATCTCTCTTTTGCTAGGACCCAAAGAAATCCAGATGCATTAAAGGGCCTGGTTTCTCTTTGTTTCTTAATTTTATTTTTTTAACTTGAACTTTTCTTTTAAATAACAACTATGTTGATCAATAATTTTGATTTTCCACTAAGTAAGCATATAAAGATAAATATATCTTTAAAATAACTGCTAATGAATGTCACAAAATGCATACTTTCTTTGTGACAACTCATTTTTAAATATAAAAATTAAAAAAACAGGAAGAACCGAAAAGATACACATGTCAGTTTTCAACATAATACACTAAAGTTTACTGGTCTTCTGTGGTACATACCTGCTGTTGTTCCTTATTGTCAGCTTTCATAGCTAGTATTAAGCTTCTAACAAATGTTTGGAGTTTAAAGTATTTTTGCTTCTGAATTTCTAGTTCATTTTCAATAAATCTGACTTCTTCATTCTGAAGGAGAAAACATTGAAAAAGAAATTAACCTATATAAACCTAGAATGGCAAATATCTTTTTTAAAAAATTTTTATTAGTGAAACACCATGAGGTACAGTTGTAGATTTACAAATTTTTGTGCTTGGTTTTCATTATACAATGATCAAATACCCATCCCTCCACCAGTGCCCATTCTCCACCACCATGGATAATATCCCTCCCACACCCATTCCCCCCATCCCACCCTGCCTCTGTGGCAGGGAATTCCCTTTTGTTCTCTCTCTCCTTTTGGGTGTTGTGGTCTGCAAAAGAGGCATTGAGTGGCAAACATGTTCAGTCCATAGTCTACTTTCAACATGCATCTCCCCTCCTTGGAGGATCCTCCAAACACTCTTTATTTGGTGCTCCCTTCTCTATCTGAGCTGCCCTTTCCCCTAGAATGTCCGGCCGGCCTCTAAGCTATGGAGCAATCCTCCTGGTGCTGATCTCAGCTATTCTTGGGTATTAATCTCATATTTTGTTACTTTATATCCCCCAGATGAATGCAATCTTTCTATGTCTATCCCTCTCTTTCTGACTCATTTCGCTTAGCATGATACTTTCCATGTTGTACCACTTGTATGTAAATTTCATGACTTCATCTTTTCTAACAGCTACATAGTACTCCATTGTGTAGATGTACCAAAGTTTCTTTAAGCAGTCATCTGCTCTTTGGAACTCAGATTTCTTCCAGTTTCTGGCTATTGTAAAGAGTGCTGCAATGAACAAACAAGTACAGATGTCACTTCGACTATACTTTTTTGCCTCTCTGGGATATATTCCCAGCAGTGGTATTGCTGGATCAAATGGCAGCTCAATTTCTAATTTTTTGAGAATCGTCCATACTGTTTTCCAAAAGGGCTGAACCAGTCGGCATTCCCACCAACAGTGAAGGAGTGTCCCTTTCTCGCCACATCTCCGCCAGCATCGGTTGCTTTTGTTCTTTTGAATGTGGCCAGTCTCTGAGGTGTGAGATGATATCTCATTGTGGTTTTGATCTGCATCTCCCTGATGATTAATGATGTAGAGCATTTTCTCATTTGCTTTTTTGCCATTCGGATTTCTTCTTTGAGAAAGTTTCTGTTCATTTCATTGCCCCATTTTTGGATGGGGTTGGATGTTTTCTTCTTGTGGAGTTCAACCAGTACTTTGTATATCCTTGTTATCAACCCCTTGTCAGATGTGTATTCGGCGAATATCCTTTCCGAAGGATGGCAAATATCTTATGCAAAAGTATAAAATGCATTCTAGATGGTTAATAATTATAAAATTTTAGATAACTTTAGCATAAAAGAATATTATATAGAGAAGGAAATTATCCTGTTCTTCAAATGTTAACTTTTAAGCAAATGAGCAACAGAAAAAAAATTCAATGAAATAGTTTCTAGTTTGAGAAAAATAGAGACACCTCTATTCTCAAAAAAACTCCTCTTATTAGTTAAATATACATTTAGATCAAAATTAATAATATAGAAAATTTACCTTAGATAGTGACAGAGATTTATTGTATTGAATGTTGATTCACAGAACCAAATGACAATAACCAGAGAGGTTATTCTTTGTATCAGGCAGGGATTGAAATTTTCATTAAGACTTTCAAAATAAGTTTGCTGAGTCCTAACACCACCTTTATATAGTCTTCTTTTAAGGAAAAATTTAAATTTAAAAACTGATTTTTGACCCAGGCAACCTTCACTATTTTTTGCTTAGTTGTATAGGAAAAACACTATAGATTAGGGTTTGGGGATAATATAGTTCCCGTGTATAATTGTGTATACTTAGCTAAGCCAATTCACTTTTCTGACTCTACTTATCATTAAAACGAAATACTAGTAATATTTGACAGTTCTAGCTTTAAGAATTAGAAGGCTTAAACGAAACAACTATGAAAATGCACTATTTTTTTCTATTCAAGTTACAGTAGTCAAGACAATGTGTTATTAACAAAGAGGTTGGAATACAAATAAATAACAGTCCAGATCTATCTAGACAGCTGACTCTGAGGACTAAAAGGTGTGAACCCCTATATACACTAAGGAAGTGTATAATAATAATAATAATAACACAAAACCACATTTTTGCAAAAATTCTGAGGTTTAGGATATTTTACAGACAAAGGATAATTTTCAAATTGCAGTGGTTAAGCTTTTCTAAACTTATAGCTTTTTAGAAAGAGAAAATATTTTGAATTTTGATACCATAAACAACCCTACAAAAATGAATAAGAAATAGATCACAGCCATAAGAATGCAACGAGGGATTGTAAAACTTCCAGAGGTAGATACAAGAGAAAATATTTGTATTCTCTCATTAATAAAACTTTTGTTTAAAACACAAAGCATTAAACTTAAAAGACTTCAAAATTAATTTTTAAAACATGCAATTTTTTAAACTTCATTGGGACATCATGACTTTCAAAGTTTTTTATAATGCTGTTGTTTCAGGCACTATATGTTCCAACACCAATCATTTTAGCAGTATGACCTTCCCCACACTGATGTCCCCAGTTGACAACCTAGCCCTAAGCCTGCCACCCTATTAGGCATAACTAGTTTATATTGGTTGTTACAACATTCACTACAGCAAAAAGTACACTTGTATTAATAATTTCCTTTATAGTGTGGGTTGTTGTTGGGATGGTACATGTCCTCTAGTTCTGTGATGTTGCACATGTATGTTTTCTATCGTGGAGAAGGAAAGTTATTTAAAAAAACATATTTGCTCTTAGACTTGAGACAGTTGTGATAGTAGGGAGATTGCCTTGCACTCAGCTGACCTAAGTTCCATCTCTGGCACCTGATATATTACCCTGAACATTGCCAGGAGACATACTGGAAAACTGTGTCAGGAGTAAGCACTAAAAACATCCAGGTGTGGCACCCAAAACAACAACAACAAAACCCAGAAAAACACAAGCTATTTAGTAGAGAACAGATGTAAGTTAAATATCTGATTCAGGAAATGTTAGTAAGTGTTGCAATTATAGATCCAGAGGTAGAATTAAAAAGACAAAATATTTTCACAAAGCATTCAAAAACATATAAATAAACAATAAAAATATTTAATATCATTTTTCATAAAAAGTGTAAATTGAATCCACAATGAAATATCAATGGTAACTTCACGTGATCACTTGATCCCCCGTTATTCATCGATTTACTCGAGCGGGTGCCAGTAACGTCTCCATTCATCCCTGTTGCGTGCTAGCGTAGCCCAATTGTATCTGTTCGTTCTAGGAACATGCAGAGCCTCAAGCCGATCATTCTGCATCTTGACAAAGAAGTCTGACCATCTTGTAGGTGGGCATCCACGTGATCTTTTGGCGCCCCGTGGAATCCAGTCAGTAATGGCTCTAGTCCAGTGGTTGTCTGTAAACCTCATTACGTGTCCAGCCCATCTGATTTTTGATGCCTTGGCAAATGAGACAGCGTCCCTGATTCTTGAGCGTTGACGGAGATCAGAACTCCAGATTCTATCTCTCATTTGAGTGAAACGTGATATTCTAAGCATAGCTTTTTCAATTTCTCTTTGAGAGACCCGAATAGCGTTCTCATCCTGTTTTCGTAGGGCCCAGGTCTCTGAGGCATATGTTAATGCAGGAAGAACAGTGGAATTGAAGAGATGTGCTCGTAGCTGGAGGTTCTTTGTCCTCTTAGTTATTTCTTCGATGCTCTTGAAGGCATTCCAAGCCGCTCTCTTCCTCCTGCATAACTAAGGTGCCAGGTCATTCATCATGTTGATTTCTCAACCTAGGTATATATAACTGTTGCATTCGGAGATGGTGGTTCCATTGAGAGCGAATGGAGCGTGAGGAATGAGGCTGTTTCTCATAAACATTGTCTTTGTAAGATTCAGTTGTAGACCGACCTTTCCACACTCATGGTCGAAGTCTGTCAGCATTTGTGCCGCTTGGCTGATGTTTGGTATTACTAGAACAATGTCATCAGCAAAGCGGAGGTGGTGAAGTTGCCGACCATCTATCTTCACTCCTATTTCTTCCCATTCCAAGTCGTCGCACGATGTTTTCGAGGGTGGCACTGAAGAGTTTTGGTGAAATGGTATCAACCTGCCGAACCCCTCTCTTGACATGGATGATTACTTCTTTGTAGAATGGTGAGATCCTAGTAGTGAATCCGTATTAGAGCTCATGAAGGATCCTGATGTATTGAGTTTCTACGCCCTGATTGGCTAGGGCTTCTGTGACTGCTTCCATCTCAACAGAATCAAAGGCCTTCATTAAATCAATGAACGTTAGTGAGAGCGGCATCTTGAACTCCTGAGAAACCTCAATGAGCTTAGTAATCGTGTGGATATGGTTGATGGTAGTGAATCCTTTTCAGAACATGGCTTGTTCACATGGTTGTCCTTCATCTAGTGTTCTGATAATCCTATTCAGGATGACTCGAGTGAAAAGTTTGTAGATGACAGACAATAGGCAGATTGGGAGATAGTTGCCAATGTCGTTGATGTCTCCCTTCTTGTATAGTAGCACAGTCTTGCTGGTTTTCCATTGGGAGGGAACCTTGCATTCAAACAGGTACTGTGTGAAGAGCCGAGCCAGTGTATTTATGAGTACTGATGGTAAGTTCTTCAGGTGTTCAGGTCTGATCTTGTCTGGGCCAGGTGCTCTTTGTTTCTTTACCGACGAGATGACATGTTGAATTTGGGAAGGGAGAACATTGGGAATGACATATCCATCCTGCGTAACTTGGTATTTGGGCAAGTGGATGTGGCTATTAAAGAGATCTGAGTAGTAGTCATGAATAATCTTCTCCATTGCCCTTCTGGAAGATGTGATAGATCCATCAGGCTGTCAGAGGGCAGTCATCTTGGTCTTGTAGTTGGTGAAGGACAGGCGGGTATTACAAATGCTTTTCCCGGCTTCTGCCGCATCTACCAGCACTGCTGCTCTCCTGTCTTTGAGGTCATCCTTGATGGCTTCTCTGCATTGTTTTGCCAGCTCTGACATTCGCTTGCG